GGACCACAGGGGCTTCAGCCAAGCCTCCTGGGCTGGAGGAAGCCCGCCCTATGCGTGCAAGCTGCAAACTCTCCTGACCTATGATAATCCTTCAAGCTGATTGATGGCCAGGAGGCTTCATCCACCAAGCTTAGTGAAGCAACTGGTATCCAGCGGAGGGCGGAGCCTGATGGAGCGACCTGATGGAGTCAGGTGGAATGTCTGGACAACAGGTTTTGCCTACAGCACTGCTTTCCACAGGTGTGGCCCAGACTCTGCCAGCGCGGTCTCTGCTGCCAGCTGGAAGCCAACCACAATTCACTTGGCTCACCATAGCATCCCCAGCCGAGACGCTGGAATCTGTAAACTGTCACCACTCCAGGAGCCTGAATTGATTCCTTCTCTTCAAAACTCGTAGAGCAGGGCTCCCAAATGCAATATACACACAGATCTCTCGGGGACTTAGTTAAAATGCAACTCTGATTCAGAAGGTCCCAGGAAGACTGCGATGCTCATTTCCAACAAATTCCCAGATATTCAAAGCTGCTTGTCTGTCCGCCACGCTTTTGGAGTTGCACGAGTTGGAGAACATTAGCCTGAGTGAATGAAGTTAAGCCTTCATCTCTATTTCAGGGAGAACTCAGTCAGATCCATCATCTGATCCTGACTCAGGAAGCATGTTTGTTTTTGTTTGTTGGGAGGGGGGATTGTTTCGTTTTTGTGCCAATCCTAGGGCTTGGACTCAGGGCCTACAAGCTGTCTGTAAGCTTTTTCATTCAAGACTAGCACTCTTCCACTTGAGAACCACTTCCAGCTTTTTTGCTAGTTAATTAGAGATAGCCTCATAGACTTTCCTGCCAGGGCTGGTTTCAAACCACGATCCTCATATCTCAGCCTCCTGAATAGTAGGATTACAAGCATGAGCCACTAGCATCGGCTACTTGTTTTATTTTTGCTTGTTTGTTTTGTTTTGTTTTAATTCTGTGTCTGCTATGTAGCCTTGAACTTGCGAGCCTCCTATTTCAACTTCCAGAATGCTGGGGGTTCTAGGTGTGTACCACTACCTGAGCCTGAGAAGTAACAATGGTATCAGTTTGTACAATGAGCTGAAATAAGGAGGTTGCAAATAAGAACTGTAGTTGGAAAGAATAGCACAAACTACCTTTTCTTGAATGTGCTTCTTATGTGCTATGATCTTTCCATTTCGCAAGGCAGATATTATTAATCTCCATTAACTTTATAGTAAAATTAACGTTCAGAAAGTTTAACTCATTTTCCCTGTGGTATTATTGCTGGTTGAAAACTGGAGCTTGGTTAAACTCATGATCTGATCCATGGTGTGAAAGTGCGAAATCAGGGTTAATTGAATTCACCCCCAGTGCTTCTTACCTTTACCTTGGTTTTGTTTTTAGTCCTATACCTCAAACCAAGCACATTAGACTCACTAAAGAAGGGACAGTATATTTTCAAAACTCCTCAAATATTAGCAGATAAGCCTCAGAATAATTTCTTTAGTGCCCCTCCTCTACCCAGTAATGAGACAATTGAGAAGCTGAAGGGTGATAAATCCATCTTGTTAGAACCTGAACTAGTGCATATGTATACCCACCCCAGGACTGTTCAATAAACTAACGAAACATAAACTAGTGTCATAAGGTTAAATAGAATGGGAGAGGAAGGAAAAGGAGGGAGCTTGCCAAGGGAAACTAGAGAGAAGAATTGAGAATCAAACCAACTTGAGAAACAGTATACATTTAGGAGAACAGAGAACTCCAAAAGATAGAAAATTTCACCAAATGAAAATTCTTAGTATTGAAAATAACATCTCAGTCAGGCACCAGTAGTTCAGGCCTGTGATCCTAGCTACTCAGGAGCCTTATATCTGAGAATCAAGATTTGAAGCCAGCTGAGAAAGACAAATCCAACAGATTCTTATTTCCAATTAATCAACAAAAAGCCAGAAGTGGAGGTGTGGCTCCAATAGCCAGTTGCCAGCCTTGAGCAAAAACAAAAACAAAATGAGATCTTTAGGCCCTGAGTTCAAGCCTCAGTACCCAGACATACACAACACAAAAAGAATACATCTCATATGTCTATGAATCTTCTTGCACTTCATAATAGGTTGGGATTATTTTAAAGTGATAAAGCAGAACACATTTAGTAAGTAAAACTGTTTGAAGAAGAAGAAGAAAGCTATGACTCCTCTAGGAACTTCAGAACATCATCTCTTGTATAACTGAACTGAAAGGCTAATGCAGACATCATCTCTTCCAATAGAAGGTTGGGATTACAAAGCAAAGCTCAGAGTATCTTCACTACAACAGCATCCCCTAGGTAACTTCTCTTTACCCTTCAAAGACTATTAGAGATACTGTTTTAAAATAAGTTTCTCCTAGGAGATAAAAAGTTACTGAGAAATTAGTTAATTTACACAGTAGATTCCCAGGATAACTACTTTAATCCCTTCTGGCAGAGGTGCCTCCAATGACCTCCCATTAGGCACCTCCTCTTAAAAGTTCCATCACCTCTTAATATCACAATACTGGGGGCTAAGCTTCCAGCACACAAGCCTTCACATCTAAACCACAGCAGGTATTGTTTTGTTCATCTCATCAGCATGCTTGTCTCTGATTGGACTCAAGGTTTAACTCACTGTCCACCTTTTTGTGGGCTTAATTATGAGACCACAGATCTAGAGTTGCTATAGCGCTGATATAAATTTTTGACTAAATTTGCCAGGTCAAGAAGTTGGAAGATGCAACATAATTAGTCCAGTTTCAGAAAGAACTGAAAGAAAGGCATTGAACGATACATTCAGGGACATTTCAAAACACTGGGAGCACCCGTGGCGGGACTAGTTGTCTCTGCAGCCTGGGAGCTCTCTCCACAGCCACCGATGGGGCAGCAACATCACCTGACACCATGCAAAATGGGCAAGCTCTGCATTGCTACCTGTTTGGGGGTTCCCTACAGGCTCACAGTTGTACCCTTTCTGATGTCAAGATCAGGAAGTAGCTCCTCCCCAGTTCAAGCTGGAAGGAGAGACTCATTCAAGAATTTTTGAGGACAAGCCAACACAAGCACAGGGGAGACACAGCTCGGTAGCTTTCCGTGTGCATTACATGGACCACCCCTCCTCACAACCTTATGAAGGAAGCAAACTTACCCGGCTTTACAGTGAGGAATGTGAGGTCCACAGAGAGTGAGTAACATACCAAAGTTTACATAACTGGTAAGGATCCAAGTCAAGACTCAAACCCAGGGTTAGTTGACCTGAAAGCCCACACACTTTAGATTATCTGATGCGTCGTGTATGACAAGGCTGCATTTTGTGACCTGCACTTAAGGTGTGGTTTTACTGGGCCCTGGGCAGAGAGTAAGAAGGGAGGGGGCAAAAGGAAATAAGATTCCTCCACATACTCAACCTGACCAATCAGGGCCAGGGACCAGAAGGCGATGGTGCCACGTGTTGGTAGCACTAGGAGGAAGTCTGTAATTGCATGTTGATGATTGTGTTCATTGACGTAATGAATGAATGAAGTAAACATCTGGACAGAAGTGGCAATACCAGACAGCAATAGAGATGTTAACAGTACATATTTGGATGTTACATTCTAGGGGAAGTAATTTAACATCTCTGGACTTCAATTTCCTCTCATGCAAAATAAGAATGATATTATTTACTGCAAAAGATTTTTGCAGTGGCTGTACAGTTAAGTACATGAGCATAAGACTGGATGTGGGACAACAGGATTCTGTCGGTCTCATCTTCATTATCACTATCACTATTATTATTGCAATGAGGGATTGTGTCTCGTTTGCTTACTGAATCTCTGGAGATGCACTAATGCAATTCCTTTCATTCCCAAAGTTAGCCCCACGTGCTCCTCTTGTGACTCATTTTCCAACTTCAGGGTGACTCTAGAGTTTGTTTGTTTTCTCCTCATTTTACCAAAGAGAAATGTCAGAGAAATTCACCTGCATCTCAAACTTTCTGTGGTGAGCCTAGACGCTCTAGGCTCCTCCTCCAAACACAGACGCCTGGACGGAGGGAATTCTGATGGGTAAGGACATGGAGCCCTGTGGTCTGGCAAGTGTCCAGTGGGTGGAGCCCGAGAGCCCTCTGCAGCCAGGCTGCGTACCGATAAGGACTATCTGAACATCCAGCCATCCACTGGGCAAGGGAAGGCCGCGATGAAAGGAAAGCAGGCCACAGATGTGGTAGATGCACAGCTCTCTGTGGGAAGCCATGCAAATTCTGCACTCACACCAGTGCACCTGATGTCTGCCATGACGGAACAAGTCACCAAACTGGCATTTCAGAAGAAGCACAAGAAGAAAGAGAGTTTTCCATTTTAGATTCTCTCTGCTCTAGAATGTTTTTACCTCTTAACTTTTAAAGCAGCAAAGTCCCTCCCCTCATCTCCTCTCCCACGGGGATTTTTACCTGGAAAGAGGAACAAGGTTCCAGGCAAACATTTCTCTTTTGGCTTGCTACTCAGTGGGGCAAAGGGTGAACAGAAAACAACCTGTATTCTTGTCACTATACTACTCAGGGTCTTGCTGTTCATACACCTGGTTAGAAACTGTCAAGTCTAAGAACATTCCACCCTGAAACCAGCTACTTGGCTCTGGAATCTGCTCTGCTCAACTGTCCTGTGGTTTGTAGTTTAAAAAAATGCCATCCCACTTTTTCTGGCTTACAAATCTTTGCAAAAAGTATTTCACGGGGGAAGTTAGGAGTAGAAGAGATAGCACGGAAGATAAAAGGATGGATTTGAGTAGAAGTAGCGTGACGCAAAGACAACAGAACACCGAGGAAACATGGCAAAGCAATTGGCAACATGTCAACGTCAGAGAAAGAAGAGGGACATGAGGTGCCGGAAGCAGAGACCAGCTTCTCCAGCACTGCCTTCGCATTGGTGGCTGAAGTGGGAGGAGAAAGTGCTCAGACTTGCAGAATGGGGCTCTGGGCATAAAAGGGTGAGGTGCCTGCCTGCTTCTAATAGAGCCTGGCAGGTCTTTATCAGCCATTGCCGGCTGCCACCGGAAAGCCAGCGGGCGGGTAAGTAAGTGCCCTCTTCATTTCTATTAATTGCTAACTGTTCATTGTTGGGTCTTGTCTTCTGAGTCCTCTATTTTCACTCTTTTAAGTGACAGAAGAAGAGTTTGAACTCAAATGTGTCTGATTCCAGAATGTGTACTTATTTATTATTAATAGTGCATGTTAATTATCCAAAGTTCTGAGTTTTACTGTGACACTGATATGCATGCGTGTATGGTACCTTGATCATGCCTACTTTCCCTTCTGCTCTCACTTAATCTCCCCTCTCTCTTGTGTGTACACCTCTCCATTCCAGCCCCCCCAAACACACTTTTTTGGTGCCATTAGTAGGACTTGAACTCATGCAATGAACTAAGGGCATTGTCCCTTAGGGTTGTTTGGTTTGGTTTGGTTTTTGTTGTGTTTTTTGTGGGTTTTTTTTGGTTTTTCGTTTTGTTTTATTGCTCAAAGCTAGCAATCTACCACTTGAACCACAGCTTCACTTATGGTGTTTTGCTGGTTAATTGAAAAGAAGAATTTCATGCACTTTCTTGCCCAAGTTGGCTTCAAATTACAATCCTAAGATCTCGGCCTCCTGAGTAACTAGGATTACAGGCATGAGCCACAGTGCCAAGCATCCTCTATCCCCCTTTTGAATTGTTGTCTTGAATTGTTGCAACTGGATAGAAGCAGCAAAGTTAGAGTTCTGGTAGACTAGAGAGTAATTCACCAAAGCCATAGGCTTCTTCCTGAAAAGCTAAAAGTCAGGTCTTTTATGTATGATTTCTGAAGCAGGAGGGAAATGTTCCTGAGCTTCATGCTGATCATTTTCTGCAAGGTGACCACTTGAGGCACTAAATGACCCCAAATGATTAAATAATCCATAGCATTAGAACTTTCGAGCTATGCTTTTCACATACGTAGCATTGAAGAGAAGGATATATGATTCAATAGAAAAGAGGCAGAGTGTCCAATTATGGACTTATGGGTCTGGCATGTGCTGGCATGCTGAAGCATACACATGGCATGTGCTTGTGTACCCATGGGAAGAACCTCTCTTCATAGCAAAGTCACCATTTCAGCAGCTCCCTGCAGCCACACTCTCTGGCATGGACGAGCCAAGGCCTCAAGAAGCAGAGTCTTCTGAGGAAGGCTGTGTTTTAATCAGGTGGCCTGGATACCTGACAGTGGTTTTGTTTGTTTGTTTGTTTGTGATTACAGCTTAATGAGAACTGAGGACTCCCAGACATTCCAATCAGAAACCACCTAAAATAAAGATGATAATAAGTACTAAATAAATGTCAACACAGCCAGGCTTTAAAAAAAAACATGGCACAGCAAGAATATTCAATTTCTTCCATATCCAAAAATTTGTGTAGTATTTTGTATTTGTAGTATTGATGATAATGACTATATTCCTCTCCCCCTCTCTATTGAAGGATTCTTTTTGAAGTAATACTTTCAGGTCTCTCCAATTGTATGAATTCCTAATATATACTAATAAGAGAATGACTTTCATATTATAAAATGAAACAAGAGATGACCAGATGAATTGAAATCTCGATGTTACCATGATTAGTATGTCAAGCATTGCCTCTTTTCTAGTGATCTGGGTTTTAAAAACAAACAAACAACTTTCCAACTCCCGCCAGAAAGTTCACCAGTTGCAGCTTCCAGAATATTCTTGTAGCCTTGTCTGTGATGCAGGAGGGAAAGCATTGCTTTGAGGTATGGGGAGATATTTAATAGAAAGCAGTTGTTTCCCGCAAGGATATAGACTGAAGTTAAGGCAAGCTGAGCCCTTTCTGTGTTACAATTCCATCTTCCACTCCAGGAACACTAGCCAGAAATACAGCCTGCTGTGTTGCGTGCATCATCGGATCCAGGCAGTGACCCTGCCAATCAGAAGCAGCTCCCTTGGTTTGTTGGCTAGAATAGAATCCTGGACAACCCTGGCGGGGTCTGCCTCCAGCCTGGACCACAAAGAACCAGTATGCCTTACCCATTCTCTGTGGCTCACTCTGCCTGCAGCTGGATGGGTGAACTTGGATAGCACCCTGGGAACCTGCTTTTATTTTATAGAAAATTCAAGTTTGAACCATGTGGTCTCCAAATTTCCACATAGTTTACAGGTTTTCCATCTCTTGGTTCTAACAGGTGTTCATGTTGAGCTCAAGGGTGTGGGTTTTTCTTTTTGTTGTTGTTGTTGTTGTTTTGCCAGTCCTAGGATTTGAACTCTGAACCTGGGCACTGTCCCTGAGCTTCTTTTTGCTCAAGGCTAGCACTCTACCACTTGAGCCACAGCACCACTTCTGGCTTTTTTGAGTAGTTTATTGGAGATAAGAGTTTTATGGACTTCCTTGCCTGGGCTGGCTTTGAACCACGATCCTTAGATCTCAACCTCCTGAGTAGGATTACAGGTGAAAGTCACTGGCGCTTAGCAAGGACGTAGTTTGAAGTTGTGTATGATTTGGGGGTGAGAGGAGGTTGGCACAGAGCAAGGTGGATGGAGAACCTGACAGAACCCATTGGTCTTCTTCATGCCTTTTCTCTTTCATTCTAGGTTTTGTTGTTGTTGTTGTTCTGTTTTTTGTTGTTGTTGTTTTACATGCATTTTCTTAATGTTCTTTATCCCCATTGTTATTAGCATAAGGGTATTTCCATTTATGAATGTGATGTACTTTGACCAAATGTACTCCCTTCATTACCCCTTCTTATCTTCCCTCCCTTTGGTGTTTCTTCTTATCAAAAGAGAAACTCATAATGCAACCCTCAGAAACATTGTAAGTTCACACACACACATATACACACATACACACATATACACATACACACACAATATTTTTCTAAGACATATTAGAAATGTTTTTCATGGACTTTTAAAAATCACCTTGATCAAGTTTTCTAGCTTCAGAACAAATGAGCTGACGAAAATAAAAATACAATAAATGGAAAGGAAAGAAATAAATGTCACGCATGGAATTTCTGAAGGAACAATGGTATCGTTGGGTGTAATGGAAGAGGAAAAGGGAAGGGGGAAAGGGAGAAAGGAAGAAAGTTATTAAAACCCACCACACCTGTTGAATTCATGTTTACTGTTCGCACAGCAATATTTTATTCAGGTGCAAGAAAATAAGTCACTTTTTTGTGCTGGTATCGGGGCTTGCACTCAGGATCTTGGCACTGCCCCTTAATTATTTCACTCAAGGATGTGCTCTACCACTTAGGCCACAGGTTCCATTTCTGGCTTTTTGATGGTTATTTGGAGGTAAGACTCTCACAGACTTTCTATCCAGGCTGGCATTGAACTTTGAACCTCAATCCTTAGATTTCAGAATCCTGAGTAGCTATGATTGCAGGAGTGAGCCGCTGGCATCTGGCTTGCTGCCAATTTTTAAAACAAAAGAAAATGCATATTCCACTTGTGTAGTCAACTCTGCTCCTTCCCCCGAAAACCCTTTGCTGATGGGGATGTATGCCTTCTGTACTAGAGAGTCTGTGCAGGGCGGAGCCTTCCTCTGCCGAAGCACATCGGACTTGCTTCCCCTGACGGCTTGGGGCCTTTCCTATGCTCACCAGAGCTACAACTTCCTGTTCGCTCCCATCTCTTTGCCCTTTGTCATGTATGGAGACAGAGGAAAGATGAACAATTGATGACACCCATCATGGTCCTCTTGGGTTGGGCCCTTTGGAAATAAAGTTGGTGAGGCAGCAGAACGAGGCTTCGCTAAGGCTGGCCCTGGCCCCGAGGTGGTAAAGATAAGTATGCTTCCCCTCTGCTTCAGGGGACCTGGGCGCCTGCTCTGAGCTCTGCTGGGATGGGGTAGGAGGGATCCCCAAGTTCTGCTGAGCACAGGTTTGTGGCCTGACTCAAAAAGTCACATCACAGCTGGGCGCTGCTGGTTCATACCTGTAATCTTAGCTACTGAGGCAGCTGAGTTCTGAGGATCCTGGTTTGAAGCCAGCTCAGGCAGGAAAGTTCATAAGACTCTTATTTCTAATGAACTAGCAAAAGGCCAGAAGTGAAGCTGCGGCTCAAGTGGTAGAGCACCAGCCTTGAGCAAAAAAACTGAAGAACAATACCCTGGTCTTGTGTTTAAGTCCCAGTACAGGCATACACACACACACACACACACACACACACACACACACACACACGGCATTGCCATAGGTTTAGTGTACTTCTACCAGGCTATGGTTTTTTGACAAGTTTTGAAAAGTTAGGAAAACACAGGCTGGGGTTTTCTATTCCTCCTACTTCTATTAAAGTTCCTTTTTCTTTATTGTTCTCTCCTCTCAGGGGAATTGTAACAGACGGACCTTTTACCTAAGAGTCAGGATCAGTCCTTCTACTGGGCATTTTATCCACCCTAATATGTGTGGATCTTTAAAGTGCCAGTTAGAAAAGCAAATCTTCTAGCATGATAAAATTTCAGCATGAGCTGCACCCTTAAGTGATTGATTGCTTTCCTTCCTCAGTTTTCACGCCCTAGTTCTACAGCAGGTAGCAGATTTCCCAGGTGTTGCAGAAGGATTCATTTAGAATAAATGGTTTCTAAGGTCTCTGGACCTCAACTTCGGTCTGCTCAAGGCAGGAAGCCCCTCTCTCTAGGATATCAAAGCCCTCCCCCAATCATCCAAGCATGTGACTACTGGAGGCACAAATCGTAATAAAGTTGTGGATTTGGCCAAAAATAATTTAGTGTTTACTTAGCTTTGGGTGTTTCACCAGTGACTCAGATCATTCTGGTTCTCAATCGTGTCTGGCCAGTTATATTATCGGGTTTTGCATCAGTATCTCTAAAATCTCTTAGGTGATAGGGTATTTGACATTCTCTCAAATGTGCTGGAGATTTGGAAAGCATAAATTTGGTTATTCTGGAATTTGGGGGAGAACATCATTTCTATGGTTTCCTTTGGCTGCCAATTTTAGGACCTGATCATTTAGCTATAGAAACTCGGCAGAGTTGTAACTTTAGGCTTTGGTCATGGCCCAGGCTTAAGGCCTGTATCTGTCATGATTCTGCATGGCTTGAAAATTAGTCAGTGTTGCTGAGGAAGGGGCTTAGCATGCAATATTTTCAATTATGAAAATTAAAAAAAGAAATATCTTAGCCAGATGCTGATCTGTAATCCTGGCTACTTAAGAAGCAATGATCTGAGGATTGTGGTCCAAAGCCAGCCTGGGCAGGAAAGTCCTTGAGACTCTTATTTCCAAGTAGCTACCAGAAAACTGGAAGTGAAGCTGTGGCTCAACGTGGTAGAGTGCTAACCAGGCCCTTTGTTCAAGTCCCATGATTGACAAAAGGCGGAGAAAGATCTGAAAATAAAAAATAGTCACCACTTAGATGACTAAATAACAGGGAATTTTTCACAAATTCTTTTTCAGTTTCATATATTTAATGAGAGAGCTAAATAAGCACCAGGTAGATTTAGGTTGGATTGCCAGCTCCCTACAGTTTTCCACATAAGAAATTCTCTTTTTGTATTACCATACTTTATTTGCACAAGGGGGAGGAGATAATAACATTTTCACCTATGCATACAATGTATCCCAATTGACTTCCCTCCTCTATCATTCTCCTTTCATATAAAAAATTCATAAAGCGAAGATTCATTGGGTCAGGTGTGTTGGTGCACATTTAATCCCAGCATGTGGTAGACACAGTCAGAAGAATTGTGAGTTAAAAGCCAGACGGGGCTACATAGGTAGGCCCTATCTCATTACCACTCGCCTCAGATTAAAAAAATAACTCATGGGAAGTCTCACTGATGTTGACATCTAGCATTGTTTTGCCAAGATGGAATGACTTTGGTCTAAAATGTATTATTTAAATAGTTCGCATTTTGCAGAACAATTAATGGTCTCCATTGTTTAGAAAGCATGATGATCAGTTGGACACTGAAAAACACAATGAAAGAATAATAGTTACACAATAATAAATCAGGTACACATATTGGTTTCTGCACTGAGATTCATAGAAACCAAAACTAGAGTCAGAATGTTTTGATTTTTTTAGGATAGTAACCTATTTTCTGTAAATATCTATGTGTTAGGTATGATCAATTGAAACAGTGTTCTAGCCAAAATTAGCCTGGAACTCTTCTTGCCTCGGGAAAAACTGGCTAGTCTATCTATCTGTGTGGGCTTTGGTCATGTCTTTTATAGCTATGGCTTCAACATGTCACAGTTATGCTTCCCAGGATGGAATTCAGTGATTCCCACCAGCCAGGATACGTTCTGGGCTTTTCTTGCACAGTCTAGCTGGTTTGCTGCTAGCTTTCTCCCATTACCTACCTCAGACATTATGTCACTGGTATTCTTTTATATCTGCCATTGGCACTATGAAACCTTCATTTTTACCTACATAGTACCATATTCTGGAAATGCTGATGATACTCACCTATTGCATACTTATGAAAAATAGTGAGCACGAGTTACAGTTCTATCATTTATATTTTCCCAGGGTATGCTTAGTAATTAGGTTTTGTACCTTCTTATGCTGTGCAATCTGAACTTCTCTATCTTTATGGAATTGTTTTCTTGCTTCTTCGTATGTATTTAAGTAAGAGATTTTAAAAGATGATGTGAGATATTTATAAGAAAGAATTCTAGCAGTCTTGGACTTGCAAAGTAGAGGTCAGGGGTTCTTAGGCTGTGTCAACACATACAAACTTTTCTTCCCTTTCAAAATCTTAAGTAAAAGATTTTACTTGTGTCTTGTTTAAGAAATGAATTTTAAAAGTCTGCCGGTCTTACAAAGTAACTAGCCAGTCTGCATTAAGGAGCAGGAAGTTTTGAAGCCTGATTTCTTGCTCTTTCTATTGCCAGTATGCAGCTCAAGCACTTAGTTTTAGCTCTTTCTGTATTATTATTTGCTTCATTATGCTGATATCAACTGTTTTTCTTTCTTCTCAACTAGACTAAGCTCTTTGAGTGCAGCAAGTAGGGCCTCAGTAACTGCTTGTTGAACTAGAAAGTGAACCTTATGATATTATAAATCAGAACCTTATCATGGTCATATTTAAGATACTGAGGACAAAGGCAGTGTAGAATTTGGGACCATAGAAATTCCATGGTATTTCAGAAGGAAACGAGTGTTCTCTTGGTCCAACAGGACATCATGGTCCAGATGCATGCGTTTACACTCACCTTTTATGGCTACTCTACCCAGGCTTTAATGTGGACAGTTGTATAGTAGGAATATTTATGAACTCTGTCTTTCCTTCAAGGAGCCAGAGGAAGAGGCAGCCATGGAAGACTCGACCATGGTTAAACTAGACCAGAGTACAAACCAGGTTTCCACAGGTCGGGGGAGAAGGTGCGTCCCCAAAGCACTTGGTTATGTCACCGGTGACATGAGAGAATTAGCCAACTGGCTTAAAGGTATTTATGTGTTCATTTCTTGGAGAGATGGGAGAATTGGCTTTAAGAAATGATGTGAAGTATTTCTACTGATATCTTGAGTTGTATTCCCTAGTCATTATTCTCCATGTTTCTACTTTAATTTTTTATCTTGAAAACTTTTCCAAGTTAGTTTTTTCCTGGCCCTATTCATAGTATAGAAAACACTTATCCCTATGTTCTAATTTCATTACTTAAAAAAAAATTGCTGGGCACTGGTGGCTCACGCTTATAATCCTAGCTATTCAGGAGGCTGAGATCTGAGGATCATGGATAGAAGCCAACCAAGGTAGAAAATCTGGGAGACTTAGCTCCAATTAACTACCAAAAGGCGGCAAATAGGGCTGTGACTCGAAGTGGCAGAGTGCTAGCCTTTGAGCAAAAATGCTCAGGATCAAGAGCCCAGGCCCTGAGTTCAAGCCCCACAGCCAACAAATAAAATAAATATATAAATACATAATAAAAAATAAAAATGTAACTGAGCAACTTGGAAAGCAGAGGCAGGAGGATCTAGCATTCAAATTCAGCTCAGCCAAAATTAGCAAGATTATCTTGAAACAAAATTCAAATAAAAGGATTGGGCTATAACTCAAGTTATTCCTTTGCCTTGTTCACATTGCTGGGTTCAGTCCCCAGTACTGCAAGAGGCGGGAAGAAAAAAAGAGAACAAGGGAAATGGAGAGAGGGAAGGAAAGAGGAAGGAAGTGAGCAGGAAGAAAAAAGAGGAGGAGGAGGAGGAAGGGAGGGAGGAAAGGAAAGAAAAGACCAAATGAAAAAATGGAAAGGAAGAAAAATGAAAAATTTACTATTTGTTCCTTTGGTTTGACGATCTGTACTTCTGAGCACAGTAAATAAGTACACTAGATACTATTTTCTGAATATCAAGAAGCTAGATGATTTCAGGGGTCTGGGAGCCTTTAGGACACAAAGGCTCATAGGGGAGAAGCTTTAAGGAGTATCAAAATACGTTTTCCTTCCAGAGGATGCTAGTGCCTTTGTTCAGAGCAGGCTTAGCATTGGGCAGGACCGCCATTCACCCTGTCACATCCTCCACTCTGCTCATTTCTCTCTTCCAGATAAGCCTGTGGTGCTCCAGTTCATAGACTGGTTTCTTCGAGGCATATCCCAAGTGGTGTTTGTCAGCAACCCCATCAGTGGGATCCTGATTGTGGTGGGACTCCTGATCCAGAACCCATGGTGGGCTCTCAATGGTTGCTTGGCAACAGTGATCTCTACTCTGACAGCCCTCTTGCTCAGTCAAGACAGGTAGGCACATGTCTTCATGCCAGTTTGCTCCCTTTCTCAGACCCTAGCCAGACAGCCATCATGCACAATGGTGATAAAGCCACACCCTGCCCCGAAAGTAACAACCTTTATTCCATAGAACTCTATTTGCCTTTAGTCAGAGGCCAGGAAACCATTTATAGTGTCTTATCCTTAGTATCTGAGTAAGTGACCAGAGGTAGGTGTAGTAACCAGAAACTCAGCTATAAGTTATCTCTAGGAGATCTTTAAGGATTGATAAAAATTATTTATTAGCATTTCAGGGCGGGAGTGGGGGGAACAAACATGAGTTCATGTTAAGTCTTTTTTTTAACTTCTAATATCATCATGTTCTAGTATTGAGATTGAAAGATTGGTCTCTGTATCAGAAAAGCAGTGCCTAAAATGTGAAATCGTTGCACAAGTTTGGAATGATGGGTGATTTCTTTCTTTGTGTGTAGTTTCTCATTCAACAAGGAACTTCTACAACGTGACAATAAACACGAAATCATGTCACTGTCCCATCTATAATCCCTCAAATGCTCCTGCAGAATTTGAATTCTTTAACTCCCTTCATGGCCCCTCTTCTCATTTTTCCAATGGTATCTCACTCACAAAAGTTCTCGAAGCCCAGCCATCCCCATTCACCATTCTTGGGGTCCAGGAGTCCCCAAGAGTCCCCCCAGCTCTGCATATGGACAGGGATGGAAAGTCTTAACGATTTAATAGTAACCCCTTTCTATCTTGTTCCTGTGATCAGTTTATCTAACTCATTCTTCATGGACAATTCAAAAGTTAGCTCAGCTTCTGAAGATAGGAATACCCACAAATTGTAGGACTTTGCCATTCCAAATAGTCCTTCATTGTTTTCCTTCAATGAAACACCAACCTCATCTCTGGGGCAGGTATTATTGACAAGATAAGTCATAGTTACATGTGCTAGTTTTCAAAGCTCCTTTATTTTCCCTGGTCCCAAAAGACCCTATTCAAATGATAATACCATTTGAGGTGAATACATGTCTTCTGGAGGTTTTAACTGGGGCATTCCACAACCTGTGGATGCTGCCATTCATTTCCCATGGACCAAACTCAAGCCCCAAATCCCCAAGCCTACTGTTGAGAGGACAAGACTTTTCACAGCTCTCCACTGTCATTATGTGCAGTCCCAATTTCCGGTTACAATCATACAAATTATATTGACTCCCACATTCCCTGAACAGGAAGTCTCACCCCTAATGTTTTCAAGCCGATGAAGGCATGTGATGTCATCTTATCTCTTCTACTGGTGCCTCTGAGGTCAGTTAGAAACAAGCCAAATAACTCTTATACCCACTCCTGCCAGCTCCCACCAGACCCTGTCATCTGACCACCAGCTGCAGCCCTTCCCCTCAGGCCCTGGGTTTGACTTCATCCACTCTCTTCATCATCTTTATCCATGCCCAGTGTCTCTGCAAACATGGCCCTTGAGTTCCTGACTCTTGGGAAGCACAGACTATGCCCTTCACAGTGCCACACGTTGTCAACTCTCAGAGCCCTGGGGGAGCTGGGGCTGCTTGTCAGCCTGGTCTTATTCTATGGGTTGTCTGCTTCCCAATTAGGAAGTTGAGGTCATCATAGCCAGAGTGCAAGCCCACCCACAGGATAATCTTCAGAAGCAAAGTTAAATACAAGCAGAGGGGGTTCAAAAAAAACCCATATACTAAACATTCATATAATTGAATGGTGATACTTTACCAAGTTTTTTAAAAAGTAGTTTTTTTCTTTACAACAACTTGGAAATGTGTGTTTAGAGAACAAAATGCAAGCAAAGGACCACAAAGCTGTATGCTAAGGTATTATGAAAACGAATTTCCCATTTTAGGAATCATACATCTCTTACCAAAGGAATCAGATTTAGGAAACTTCCATATGTCAAAACTTCTATTCTCAGAGGCCCTTCGTGTTTTAAAATAAGTCATAAGAACTGTATGCAGGAAAGTATAAAGGAATGCCTTTCTTGTTCCCTTATCAATCTCTGTAGAGCTGTCCTTGGCTCTGACACCTGTGGAGGGCATTATTTTAAGTGCCCATCAGTGCTTTTATCTATACATATTGTACTTGATTTGGGTATTGATATTCATATGATGCACTTGATAGGAAATGCATAACTAAATATAACTGTGTTTTCTAAATATGAGTGTGATTGAGACCTTACAGGTATAATTTATGTGCAAGTCTAACCCAAGTCCACCTGAACACTGTCTGTGCTATGCCTTTTCCCCACAGGTCAGCCATAGCAGCTGGACTACAAGGCTACAATGCCACCTTGGTGGGCATTCTCATGGCTGTCTTCTCGGACAAGGGTGACTATTTCTGGTGGCTGCTATTCCCCGTGTCTGTTATGTCCATGACATGGTAAGTTGTACTTAGTTTTCAAAATGCCTTTAAAAAGTTGTGGAGGGAGGAAGAAATGAGGAGTTGGTTATTTTGTGAACTAACAAGTGTTCTGTGAATGGATGGAAACTGTACAACAATGAGAATGTATTGTGTCAATGAATGACAACTTAAATCAGTTAAGAAAATTGTAGGTTATGTACCTTGGCATGATCTTAAAATGAATAGAAAAAATTGATTTCTGTTATCCCTATTAGAAAAGAAACAATCCCTTAAAAAGGTGTCTGTTTCCTTACAGCCAGTTTAAGTGATTTGGCCTTGTGATAGATTCTTCTACATGTTTACCAACACTGTCCCCTCATCCAGAAGAACTCAGAGTCTTAACTACATACTGACACAGGTGCAACCACAGGATACACCCACATTACCATCAAGATGGATGGAATTACTCTCATCTGCTGTCTAGATGACAAAACTATTGAATCTCCCCAGGTCATCCTAAGTAGTGTTCACACTTGAACACAATGAGGACTTACTAAAACAGATAGATGGCTGCCTCCCCATAGGTTCTGATCAAGTCCACTGGGTAGAGCCTGAGAATTAGTATTCTAACAGTGCCCAGATGATGCTGGTATGGCTGGTTTAGGAAGTCCACTTAAGAACCACCATGAGGGGCTGGGAAGGTGGCTCAGTGGTAGAGCACTTGCCTTGCATGCCTGAGGCCCTGAATTCTATTCCTCAGCACCACATAAGCAAAAAGAAAAAAGCCAGAAGTGGCACTGTGGCTCAAGTGGTAGAGCACTAGCCTTGAGCTGAAGAGCTGAGGGACAGCGCCCAGGCCTAGAGTTCAGGCCCCACGACTGGACCCCCCCAAAAAAAAAAGAAAGAAAGAAAGAACCACCATGAGTATAGGCATTCTCCTTACCTACCTTTTCTAGCCCCATTCAAATAATTTTCTAGTGGGATGTAAAGTTTTTTAAAGCATACCAGCCCCATTTTTTTTTCTTAATTCAATCCCTTAAAAAAAACTGATCCTTCAAACTATTTTCTGTGTTGACATCATCTTAAATTGTTTTTTCTTTCTAGAAGCAAACATTTCTGTCTCCCATATTTAGAATATATAATTCTAATAGGCACATGAGTAAAACATACAGGAGGGCCCATGAACACCCTGGCTGCACGCACATTGTAGCTGCACGCACAGGTTCGTGGAGGGCCTGTCAACAGCATCATCCTCCCCAGGAGATAACCAACAAGGGCAGAGGTCAAGGCAAGTTGAGTGTTTACCATAGCTCCCACAAGTAGGAAATCTATTCTGCTCTTAAACAATGGCTTCTTGATTGGGTAAATAAAAGAATAACACAAGAGGCCCAAGCATGTAAACCAATCCTACCTTTGCAGACCAGGGAACTGAGGATGAGTGTCTAACCTGAAGTTACAAAGTTTATCCACAGATCCAAGATATAAGCTCTATGTAAACTCTACGCTGCTCCTCCATGCCATGCACCTGCATCCTGCCTTGAGCAATTTTCCCCAAAAACATAGATACAAATAGGAAAGACATGTGGAATTATATATGCCAAACTCAGAATCTTGGTTATCTGGTGTAGGGGAGAGGGATTATGATCATATAGTGTTACACAAAGCACTTTAATTATATTTTATCAAGTACTTAATTTTTTTCAGTCTTTGTTGTTGGTGGTGGTGGTCATGGGGTTTGAACTTGGGGCCTGGGCACTGACCCTGAGGGGTTTTGCTCAAGACTAGCATTCTACCACTTTGAGCCACACTGCCATTTCCTGTTTTCTGGTGGTTAATTGGAGATAAGAGTCTCTCAAACTTTCCTTCCCTGGCTGGGTTTGAACCACGATCCTCAGGTCTCAGTCTCCTGAGTAGCTAGGATTACAGGCATGAGTCACCAGTACCCTTTTTTTTGTTTTTGTTTCAATCTATCTATGTAATTTACTCTGAGAAGCCCCAGAATTTTCTTTTCAAAATCCAAGTATATTAACAGTTGGTTTTTAAACTGTATTTTGGAATTACTGTCTCTATTATAAAACTGATTCTACACTTTCATTCTGTGGCAGGTTTGTCCACAGAGTACATCAGGGGCCTAATTGACAGATGAAACAAAACCCCTCCATGGTGTAGAGTGATTCATTTGGTCAATCTGCCTTCTTGTCAACACATGAGGATTCTTCTATTCTGTTCCTTTTTAGCCCAGTTTTCTCCAGTGCATTGTGCTCTGTGTTCAGCAAGTGGGATCTTCCCGTCTTCACGCTTCCTTTCAACATGGCACTATCGATGTATCTTGCAGCCACAGGACATTATAATCCATTCTTCCCAAGCAAATTATTCACACCTGTAACCTCGGTCCCCAATATCACCTGGTCTGAGCTCAGTGCCCTGGAGGTAAGATACACTGTCTTCTCGTATTCACTCTGCCTCTGGGAGTCACACATGTTCTGCTGGTTCATTGCCCATAGGTTTGAGAGATTTCTAGATTCTCAGCTGTCTAGTGGCCTATCTGTCTTCATCCTGTCATTCCTGTTCTACCCCAGAACTGGGAGAGTTTTTGTTTTGTTTCTAAATGACTATTTGGTCAAAGTCAAACTCCTTCCTTTCTTTTCTAAATGCTAGCAGTACCAAGTCCATCAGAAGTCAGATACTGTCTTGTGAGCTTGACCCTTGTTTGGGCAGGTGTGATGGGGCCTCCTACCCGAGTTAAGTCTAGGCCTGATCTGCTTCCGCCAGTCAAAATAGTTGGATGCTTACTCTTTGAGTTCATCACAGAACATCTCTGAGCTATGCTCTTTTGGGGTCAGGCAACTAGAGTATGTGTAATAGTCCAAGGTTCTCAAGCTTTGCTAAGCATCAGAACTACCTGGGAAAAAATTTTAATGGTCAAACTGGATCCATCTCAGACCCTATATAACTTATAATCCCTGGAGATGGGGCCTGGGAACCTAAATTAACAGCATACCAAATTATGATGCAAGCCAAGAATATGAGAATCTCTGTACCATGTATCTCTTCATAGGAAGTTATGGAGACAGTACAAACTTTCAAAAACCTGGTGAGCCCCCATCAAATTCCAGCTCTTCCTCCTTGTGTTTGCAGCACAAATCTGCCAGAGATTTCTTTTACGTAGTTGTTGGTGTTGTTTCGCCTTTGTCTGAGATTTTGTGAGATAAGGTCTCACTAGGTAGCCCAGACTAGCCTTGAACTCACTACCCTTCTGCCTCAGCCTGCCTAGTGCTGAGATTATAGAGGTGTGCAAGCATGCCTGGCAGGGGTCTCATTTTTGTACTTGCTTTTGCAGCTTTTGAAGTCACTTCCTGTGGGGGTTGGTCAGATATATGGCTGTGATAACCCATGGACAGGGAGCATTTTCTTATGTGCCATTCTGCTGTCATCCCCACTCATGTGTCTGCATGCTGCCATTGGATCATTGCTGGGGGTAGTGGCAGGTAAGCACAGCTCATTGCCAAATACTGATGATCTCTTCCACTCATATATGGTCTCAGGTATCTTCTATGCTCCAGACATTTCTTGAGGCCTCTGCTTCTAGGGACCAGTGGGAGCTCTCAAGATACTTCCCCTAAACTCCACAACCTCCCCCAGACACATTGCCACTTGTCATGGACACTTCTGCCATTTGTCCAAAGCTCTGATCACTTCTATCTTGTCGAGCAGGACTCAGCCTTGCATCTCCATTTGAGAACATCTACTCTGGACTCTGGGGTTTTAACAGTTCTCTCGCTTGCATTGCAATTGGAGGAATGTTCGTAGCACTGACCTGGCAAGCCCACCTCCTGGCTCTTGCCTGTGGTGAGTATCTCACAAATGGAGTTTGGGAAGAATCCCACAAATGGAGTTTGGGAAGAATCCCACAAATGGAGTTTGGGAAGAATCCCACAAATGGAGTTTGGGGAAGTTTGTTCATGTCAGTGGGGTTGAAATCAAAGACAAGCAGAAGTGTGGGGGGGACTATATGAGCAATTAGAGCTGGAATTCTAGTTTAGTTTACTAAGAAAGTGCCTACCCAAAGCAAGTGATGTTCTCCTTCTCTGAGAGTACTAAAGCCATCTTTACTCACCTTCTTGGTTATTGTGACCATGGGGAGATGGCATTGAGTCCTATTTGCCATTCTATATTCTATATATTTGTTGGGGGGCGGGGGGAGGGTTGACACATTTGACTTGTCCTGTATTCATGCTTGCTATTGAATCCTAAACACTAAAAAGAAGTAACTCAAGCCAAATAGAGAACCATGTTTCTGAGGAAGCATTAGGATTACATGATCCATCCAGCTGTCTCAAACTGGAGTGTGTAACAGTTTCACCCAGAGTGCTTGTTAAAACACAGATCGTTGGAGCTCATGCTAGGTCTGATCCAGTATTAGAGGCAGGGGAGAATTTGCATCTCTAACAAGTTCCTCAGTGGAACTGGTGCTGCTGACCTAAAGACCACATGTTGAGACCACGTTATTAATTCTTTCTCATCTCCAGCATTCTAGCTAGACCCTGCTGTAAGGTATATTAAGTAGGTAGGTTTCATTCAGTAGCCAATGAAGAGAGCACCATGTGCTATTCAGGCAGGAAAAGAAGTTTATTTCCTGAACTGCTGCCCCCACCCCACCCCCATGCATGGTAGAGAGGCGTGGTCAAAAAGGGAGACCCACCCCCAGGCCAGGACTTATCTAGGCCAGAGATAGGAAGAGGTATGACCAGGTAGGGGAAAAGGTGTGGCCACATTGTATGTGGATGTGACCTCAGTTGGGAGGCCTGACCAGAGGTGGCCCAGGATGTAACCTAGGGAAAGGTGACTGCTTCCAGATGTGCCGGTTACCTAGGTAACACAGATACTGGGTAGAAAATTAGCCAAGAGGTAGGAAGGTGTCTGTACAGGGCCTACATGGTCCAGGGCAGACCTTACCCCTGCCTACAGAGCTGGAAGAAAATCTAGAGACCTCCAGTCCATCTTCTCATTGTACTTTTGGGTAACTTGAGTGTACAAAGATTAAAGGAAGTCCTGAAGAGAATTTTGACTGGGTTTTATTGGAGTAAAATCTCCAGAACTATCTTATTACCCTAAGCTAGTTCTGTGTGGTAGTCTTCAGGCCCTGCTGGCAAATCCTTAGGTTAAAACAGACCTTAAGATATTTGAATCTGAAAATTGCCTGAATATCTCAAGCTGTTTAGAAAGGGGAGACAAGGGGCTGGGAAGGTGGTTCAGTGGTAGAGCGCTTGCCTTGCATGCCTGAGGTCCTGGGTTCGATTCCTCAACACCACATAAGCAAAAAGAAAAAAGCCGGACGTGGCGCTGTGGCTCAAGTGGTAGAGCTCTAGCCTTGAGCTGAAGAGGTGAGGGACAGCGCCCAGGCCCAGAGTTCAGGCCCCATGACCTGACCAAAAAAAAAGAAGAAGAAAAGAAAGGGAAGACAATTTACCCACCCACAGCCTCTGGCACCCCCATTGAGAACAAATAAAAGTATTTAAGGTAATGGAAAGGGAGTGACACTTTCTTAGAGACAAAAAGGTGAAAGGACAGTGGAATGTGGATAATTATAGGTAATCTGATGGAAATACATCTCCAGTCCCCCTCATCTCTAATCCCTGACAACTAAATCACCATTCACGTGATGGAACCTGCCACAGACACACACACTGTGGAATTCTTACCTAAGATGGAAAACAGATAGGACCAACATTTAGACGGCTCTGATCCACTTTGACCTACACTATAACAAGGCTAACAGAACTCAGGTTGCTGTATGTTGCCATTTAACATTTTACCTGTTTCTTTGCAGTTCTTCAGGTGATTGTTTATACACCCTTTAAATTTTCCTCTCTCTCTTTCTCTCTTTTCTCACTCTCCCTCTCTTTTTCTCTCTCCCTCCCTCCTTTCACCCCCCCCCGTGTGTGTATGTGTGTGTGTGTGTGTGTGTGTGTGTGTGTTAGTACTGGGGCTTGAAGGGCCAAAACACCCTAACTTAGCTATTGCCTCTTGAGGCTGGTGTTCTACTACTTGAGCTATCCCTCCACTTCTGGCTTTGTGCTGGTTAATTGAAGATAAAAGTCTCTGATTTGTCTGCCCAGACTAGCTTTTAACTGAGATCCTCAGATCTCAGTCTCCTGAGTAGACAGGTTTATAGGCACAAGCCACTGGCACCCAGTAGTAATTTTTTACATCCCTTTTCTACCAACCCTTGTGATTACATTAGGACCATTCACAAGATCCTGTGTAGTGAGAAATTCACCCATCCTACTACTTTGTGCAAGTTTCTTTACATATATGCCTAGAAATCAAACTGATAGCTCAAAGAGAATGCCACTTTTAATTCCCAGAGATGCCAAGTTATCCCCAAGGGGTGCTATCCATTCCCAGCATTGCTAACAGTGTGGGAGGATGCTCATTCAATCTTGCTGGGTCCTATCAGACTTTGTAATGTCTGCATGTGTGTGTGTGGGGAGGGGGTTATACAGCAAGTCACACATGTAAAATGCCACAGCAAATTTCCTCTTGTCCACACAACACCAACACTGTCAAATAACCTGGTCTGTGAAGGCAAATAACTAACAGACATTGATGAGAGAGTTATTCTTTTATTCATTCCAACTGTCTTTATCAGAAAGAGGACTTAGGAAACTGATGGCATGTGGCAGAGCTGCCTCTCCAGTCTCTGGATCAGAACCTGTGAAGCCAGGGCATGTCTGGAAGCAGTAAACACATTCTGCAGCTCATCAGTGGCTGCGTTGTCAGAGTAGGACTTATATATAGCAATCCATTCCGGAAGGTTGTTGTCTATGAAGAGTTGAGATTCAGTCTCTTTCTAGGATATTTTCTCTTCACCAGCTAGCAAGAACACTTTCAGGGAATCAATCACCTATACACTGACATCTCGTGTGGAAGAACACTCCCTCATGTAAGGCTTTCCCAGTTCTCCTTAGCTAGCCATCTACCAAGGTCAGTAAGAGTTTGACACTCTTACTGTGGAGAGAAACACAACTTAGTCTTGGAGATCACTCCAAAACAGCATGATAGTATAAAACATAAAAGTGCACCTTAGAAGTGCCGTGAGCGTTTAAAAGGAAAAATGGCCATAAGATCTCATGAGCTTAGGTTAGGGCAGGATAGCAGCAGAGCTGGCACTCAAGAGAGCGAGGCAGAGTGTGGCTGATGAGTGAATGAGGTGGATCTTAACATGACTTAAATTGATGACATCAAGGAGGGAAATTCTTTCCAGCACTAGCCGTGAGTACCCTTCTGCTCAGAGTGGTTTCTCAAGAACATCATGAAAGGGATGAACTCACAGATGCTATTTCTGGAAATACTTGAGCAAGACTCTGTCTCCAAAAAAAAGAGTACATTTGACAAACATGATTCCTTTTTTTTTTTTTTGTAGCCCTGTTCACTGCCTATCTTGGAGCCAGCATGACACACCTAATGGCTATGGTAAGTTTGCTTCTGTTTATCACTCGGCACGACTGATCAGCTGTCAGTGACAAGGAAAACTCTCTCAAAGGCCATCTGGCAGCATCTAATGGCATGAACTAGCTTCTGCTAGGCTCTGTGCTGTGAGTGGGTTGAAGCAGTCCCTGGCTCTCTCAGCAGCTCACAAAGATCTGGGAAGGTCTACATAGAGACACATCCCTATGATGAGAAACCAATGACCCATTACAGGCATTCATGATAGAGGAATACATCAGAGCATTGTGGAGCCCTTCACAGTCTCAGAAAGAAAGTTCACAGCACTAATCCACGGGCCAGAACTAGACAAGCAGCACAACAGAGTCACCTAAAAAGATTTTGAGCAGGGTGCTGTAGCTCACACCTGTAGTCCTAGCTACTCAGGAGGCTGAGATCTGAGGATTGTGGCTCAAAGCCAGCCCAGGCAGGAAAGTCCATGTGACTCTTTTCTCTAATTAACCAGCAGAAGTAGAGCTGTGGCTCAAAGTGGTAGAGCACTAGCCTTGAGCCCAAAAGCACAGGGACAGCATCCAGGCCCTAAGTTCAAGCCTCAACTATGACTAAAAAAAAAAAAAAAAAAGATTTTGGAAATGATAGATCCTTAGGCCCTGTTCTTTACTGTGCTCACAGAATAGCTCTTGTATGATGTGTGTGTGTGCACCCACGTGTGTGTATACCACACGTGTGTCTATGTGTGTGTGTTTAATTCACCTACATGAGTGTGATATGCAATCATGTAATCATGCTTGGGTACCCTAAACCCCATTATACCCCATGGGGTTCATACACAGAATCAGAGTCATGCAATCAAGCAACTTGAAGTCTATCTACAATAAGTAGAGGCCTAGATTTAGACTGAGTAGCAGTCAGACAGATCTCCCTGGGATTGACTTATCAAAGAAGGCCTTGTGGATTTAAGTGGTCCAGGAGCCATTAGTAGTTTGCTAAATGTCATCTCTACGCTGAGTGTCATTCTTCCACATCTAGTGTGCTACGTCTGAATGTATGAGGAGAAAGAGTCGCACAAAGTAGAGATGTAACTAAGCATCACAAAAGATGAAAACATTTCAAGTGCAAAAATGCTCTTAAACTAGGACTCTGTGGGCATAAGTAGAATCCAAAGCAATGCCCCCAAATGACTCTTCTCCATGGGTGAAAGTTCAGAGTGGTACTTGGTACAGATTTGCGTTCAGATGGGCTCTCAACAGTTTTGTCTTTTCTTCCCCAGGCCAGGTTGCCAGCTTGTACCTGGTCCTTCTGTTTGGCTACACTGTTATTCCTCTTGCTGACCACGAAAAACCCCAACATCTACAGAATGCCACTCAGCAAAGTCACTTATCCTGAAGAGAACCGAATCTTCTACCTCCAAGTCAAGAAAAGGATGGTTGAAAGTCCTCTGTAAGAGCAACCCCGCCCTCAGCCATGGTCACAAAGTCATTTCTAACAATAGCTCCAATTGACTTCTGGGGGCCCAGCCACTCTTGTTCTGCACCAGGAACAATTTTCATACTAATGACCAGCGATCTTTTCTTTTGCCCACTGCTTGCTTTTCCTTTAGACTTCAGGAATATCCTTGCACATCTGGGAGCCACATCCAGATGATGTGGAATCTTAAGCCCCAGTGGGGTGTGGCACTGAGACTGTAATGTATTTATAGAGCCAAAGGGCTCTGTCAGAAAAAAGGAAATGAAAGTAGAATAATCCTTGATATTTATTGATATTCTTGATGTTTAGTTGGCCAGAAGATGTTAACAGTATTAAAAGTTAAGCTCTGTAAACCAACTAAACCTTACGGAATGCACAGTCACAAAAGCAAAGTCAATCCAGACTTCTCAGATATGCTGTTTGTCTTTTTTAAAAGTCAGTGTGGGTTACACATTGCAGCTGTGGTCTACGTGGTGTGAGGGATGAGGCTGACTCAAGGGCTTAAGCAACTTGAAGCTATTGGAGCTCTGCAGCAGACTAGCCCCCATGCTAGTATGTGTTTGTGCACATGCATGTGTGTACACATACATGCACGTGCATGTGATTGTCTTTCAGGAAGATGGTTGGTTTTGTTTCTGGCTGGCAAACTGCAGGAGGGAGAAAAGGATTTATTTCTATCAATATTGTTCTGTATTGCCACTTCTCTTGGAAATTGCAATGGAATTTTTTGGTAGAATTCTTTTTTTTTTTTTAACAAGAAAAGAGTTGTTTACAGTGAGATAAGATAAGAAAGGTTCTGGGCTTAACCAGCTCTTAGATATTAAAGAAACTTTACATATTTATAAAATATTCCACAGTTATTTTGACTTAAATCCCTATGTTGATTTTGTAAATGCCATCAACACAGAATCATGCTTGGCCTCTAGAGCCCTTTGAAGTCACATTTTTTCTTGTTATTTTGAGGATGTCTTATAAACACTGCTAAAGTTAGGTTGCTCATAGTTACAACTGAATATCTTCTTTCTTTCTTTTTTCTTTCTTTCTTTCTCTTTCTTTTTTGCCAGTCCCAGGGCTTGAGCTCAAGGCCCAGGCACCATCCCTGAGCTTCTTTTGCTCAAGTCTAGCACTCTACCACTCAAGCCACAGTGCCACTTTTGGCTTTTTCTGTTTCTGTGGTATTGAAGAATCAAACCCAGAGCTTCATACAAGCACTCCACCACGAAGCTATATTCCCAGTCTGAATTTCTTTTTTAAAACACAGCTGGGCATTGATAGCTCATGCTCGTCATCCTAACAACTCAGGAGGTTAAGATCTGAGGATTGCAGTTCAAAGTCAGCCCAGGCAGAAAAGTCCAGGAGACTCTTATCTCTATTTAACCACAAGAAAACTAGAAGTGCCGCTGTGGCTTAAGTGGTAGAGCACTTACCTTGAGCTGAAGAGCTGAGGGACAGTGCCCAGGCCCAGAGTTCAGGCCCCATGACCGGACCCCAAAAAAAAATCCTAAAGATTTTTCCTGCTGGGTATGGTGGTACACACCTTTAATCCTGGGACAGGAAACTAAGCCAGGAAGATCACTGAGTTTCAGGCCAGTCTGGGCTACATAGTAACATCTGATCGACCAAAAAGCACTCTTCCAGTGCTCTGTGTACAATATACAGTTTGCTGAATGGAGAAACAGAAATGAAAGTGTTTGCTAATCAATAAATACTTCAGGGAGAAGTCCACTTCTTCCTTTTCTTAAGAAAACAAGCAAATGCTGTTCCAAATCAAACCAGTGATCAAAAACCTTTTGAAATCATGAATTTACAATTGTCATACATTTGTGGTATTCCTATAGAAAAAAATGGAATTATCAAAACTTGAAATCTTCCTTGCTAGGGAATTTGTGAAATAAATATGAGTTGGTTTGAGAACTAGGTGCCAGTGACTTGCACCTATAATCCTAGCTATTCAGGAAGCTAAGGGTTGTGGTTTGAAGGCAGCCTAGCAGACAAATCTGAGAGACTCTTATCTCCCATTAGCTAGAGAAAAGCTACAATTGGGAGTGTGACTCAAGTGCTAACCTTGAGCAGAAAAGCCGAGCAAGGAGTCTAAAGCCCTACATTCAAGCCCCAGTACCAACACCAAAAATAAATAAATAAATAAGTTGGGGTGACAAAAAAGCAAGTATAACCAAAGCTCCCCAGGAGTGAAGCATCTGGACCATAACTGACTGAACCAAGCCCTCGAAACTGCACCCCTGTCTACCTTAGTCTTCTGAACAGAGCTCTGATTTGTTAATGGTGGCATCTTTGAAATAAGGTAAATAAAATGCAGCATTCAGCAGCATAAGAGGAGTCATGATAGTGCTAAAAAGCCAGGGCAGGGATCGTGACGATACTGAGAAGCCATGGCAAGAAACTGCTAGACAAACTCACAAAGGCCCCTAAAAAGAAGAATTTAGGACAAGAGGTAGTTTGTGGGCAGCCAATTCTATTCTGAGTGGTGGGCCTGGTGCCTACATTTTTTCTTTCTTTCTTTTTTTTTTTTTTTTTTGCTGACAACCAGATATTTAGTTTCTTTATTCTGCTTCTGTATTTTGCTTGGCTTGCAAAACATAGGAGATTTGGAAAGATTTCATTTGTATGACTCCTCCCCCCATTTGGGGGTATAAAAACTCTGCTTGTTGCTATTCTGGGCTGCTTCTGGGTTCTGGAGACCTAGGAGTAGTCCTGGCCGGTTATAATTGACTATTGACAAATTTCCTTTCACTACTAAACTTCCTTATAATCAGGATTCGGTTTTTGAGTCAGTGGTCTGTATCCTGGGGATTTTTCAACTCATTACATCTTCTCACCTGCACTTATATGATCTGCACATAGGGATGCTTTTAAGGTTGTATATTGTGTTATGTAAATGATACTAATTTCCTCAAGCTATTTTTTTTACTAAGTTCTAATAAGAATTCTTAGAGAGTATTCATTTATATGTATATGTGTGTATATATACACATACTTTTACTGTTCTCTGTATAACATTCTTACGTATGCATATGAATAAATTATACTCATAGCTCAATCTCCTGTCGTGTGTCTTTTATAGGTATTGTGGATAGGAACAACCACATGTGTACATGTGTATCACTTACATCCATGTGCTAGAATCTTAGTCCTTTCTTATGCATGGCACTAACCCTAGATCATAGCTGAGCAAACCTTATTCAATTTCAGAGTGACAGGCCCCTCCCCTTGGGTATTCTCCCAACTTCCATTGTTCTTTGGGATCAGAATGAGCTGCAGCTACTCAGGACACCTTCCTAAAACCATGGGGTTGACAACCAGCTCTTTTTAAGCATTCCTGGGGGTCCTGAATACCTTTACAAGGGCAATCCCAGAGGTCAGCTTTCTGGTACAAGCCACCACTCAGAATGTTATGTCCTAAGTTGAAGCCCTCGTGTCATACTATCTCTGTTACCACAAGCACTTCTCTTCTACCTGCTTTCACCTTGGTTAGAATACTTGGGAAAACAAAAAACAGAACCATGGTGAGAATGGAAATGTACTTCAACAAGTCTCAGTCTTGAATCTCAAAGAAGCCCAAACAGGAAGCAAATCCTACCACAGGATTTCCCCCACAGAAGTGTCCTCTGTCCCAATCATGCCTCTTCTACCTACTGTTTCAAGATAAACTTACCAGCATGTTCTAACTTTCATCTGAGAGAAGAAGAAAGAAATAAGCCAGGTTGTAAAATCGGAGATACTATATACATACTTTCATGAGCTACAGGTAGCTTCTTTTTTGCTCTCTAAGAAACAGAAGACAATGTGTCAGTAAAACAGGGCATGCATGCCAGTTAGAATCCTTTGAGCTGTGTAACAGGATGCCTGGTTGAAAGTGGTTTAAGCAAGACGAATGACATTCTGAAAAGTAGGAAGTCATAGGTTTGGTGCAGCTGCACAACACTGTCATCAAGGGTGCAATCTCTTCTATCCACTACATCATCCTTAGCACCCACAGGAGGCTCCACTTTCATCCTTGGACTTGTCTCATAACCCCCACATGTCTGTCCTCATCATGACATCAAAATAGCACCAAGAAGAGGACAATCAAAGTTGCAAGACAGTTATAACCATATTCTCCCTCCCTTCTCTTTGTCTCTCTCTCCCCCTCCCTCCCTCCTTCCCTCCTTCTCCCTTTCTTCCCTCCTCATTCTCCTTTTACTTTTCTTTTATTGTGAAAATACTGTACAGAGGGGTTACAATAATGAGTACATTTCTTATCAAGCATTGTAGCCTCCTCCTTTGTTTCCCCTTCCCATCCCTTCCCATCCTCCCCCCAACCCCCATCTCCTTTTCCTTTTTAATAAGGAAAGAAATCTTTCCCAAGTTTTTTTTTTTATTTGGGGTCCGGTCGTGGGGCCTGAACTCTGGGCCTGGGTGCTGTCCCTCAGCTCTTCAGCTCAAGGCTAGTGCACTACCACTTGAGCCACAGCATCACTTCTGGCTTTTTTCTTTTTGCTTATGTGGTGCTGAGGAATTGAACCCAGGGCCTCATGCATGCAAGGCAAGCGCTCTACCACTGAGCCACCTTCCCAGCCCCTTTCCCAAGTTTTACCCCCAAATCTTACCATTTTTTGGCATAGCTAGGTCTTATGGCTATGCCTAGCTGTAAACCATGAATGTAGTATCACCCCTTTCCATTGCAATGGCTGAGCTCTGCCACAGTGGAGCAAAATCAACAGGAAGTCAATATGTCTGCCATCAGAATACATAGAACCACCATAGAATAGCAGTAGCTATGTGCCCACACTGGACAGGGCCAAGTGGTAATAGCCAAGATTGCCTCACAGCTGTGAGGCTCACCAAGGGCTTTGAGGTAAGAGATCTATGCCATGACCTTTTACACAAAGATAATTTGTGTACTGCTTGCTGGAATATTCCCAAAGTATGCTCCAACTCCATATGAGGTTGTACAGCCTGTGACCAACAAATTCTAAACAAAGAATCAATACGATAATGATCACAAGGAAAGTTTAGGGGCAATTAGTGCCATCATTTATTATCTTGATCAAAGAGTTGAAGCTTCTAAATCATTCTGTATCAGAAGGGGCCACTGGAAATTGTTGTGTTTCAATTCAGTTCCAGCTCAATGGAGCACTGAAAACAAGTGTCCAACATTTTCTGGTTCATGGTCCCAAATAAACAATAAGAAATCCAGTTTCCTGTTTGGGTTGGGTCCATTGGATACTAGCCCATCCAAGTGTTGAATTATATTACAATGACATGCAAGGAATGGGAAGGGAAGAAATGAAGCACAGAGGAAAGTTGGGGCAGTGCCAGGAAACATGGCTAAATTTAAGTCCCTTAGACCACAGGAAACAATGGCAGCTAGGACATGAGTCAGTGGTCCAAAGGCAAATGCATCTCAGGGTAATAAATATACACAGACAGTTCACAGGACTGGCCAAGTCAACAAGGAGGCCTTTCTGCATCCTGAGACTCCCATGAGAGGTTAAATCTATATTATCAAATACAATAGGATCTAGCAATGGAAGCCATGTTGAAATGAAGTAGTCAAACTGAGAGCTACCTTACATGTAAAGTACACAATGGATTTTATCCAAGACCCAAAGAAAGGTAAAATATCTCAATAATTGTTGTATTGATTAAAGTTGAAATGGCAATGCTTTGGATACATTGTATTGAATACAATTTTACTTTTTAATTTCATTTTAAAACTTTATTCAATGTGGCCCTTCTAAAATTTTAAATTACATGCATAACTTGGATTTGTGCACTATATTCTATTAGACCTCACATTACTTTTCTGTTTCTAAATTAGACTGTGCTGCACTCCTTCGACTGTTTATGGTTTACAGTCTTCAAAGTAACTTGGCAGGTACTGAGCTGATGGAATTCAAACTTCTAAAAATTCATTCTACCCTTCCCTTAAAAAGAATGCATATGCAGGGTGCTGGTGGCTATAATCCTAACTACTCAAGAGGTTGAGATCTGAGGATCATGGTTTGAAGCCAGCTCAAGCAGGAAAAATCCATGAGACTACCAAAA